TTCTCTCATAATTTAGATAAATTCAAATAAGCGATATTCGTGTTGCTAATTTTGATCTGGGTACCGTTTCGTACCAAGTGCTTGCCTTGCGTACAAGGGGAGAGCGGACTTCGCTGGACTAGCCAGTGTGCTCGTGGAGGCATGTCTCCGTAGAGTCTACAGGCCTACTCGCTCGGCCTGTAAGGCGCTGTAGACAGGGGGGCGATAGACAAGCCCGCCCGCACTCCTCGTGCGTGCGGTTCAGCACAAACACAGAAGTGCGGGGTTGGCGGGGTTGCAGTACTTGTACCTTGAGTGTACGATGTAACTTGGTCTACTCACCTAAGGAGGGAAGGGGCGGGGGTCGTGCGCTATTTCCTGATGCTGGGCGCTTATCTTTCCGAGTAAGTACGCAACAAGCAAGAAGATCTGACCCAATCAGCGCCTGGGTAAAACCCGCCTCTTCTGACTGTTTTTTTAGTCGACTGAATAGTGGGAAACGTCTAGAGCAGGGGTCTCAGACATGCGGCTCGCGGGCTACACACTAAACCCTTTAACCCTTATGTACTTTGTTGTGCATAATATGCAGAATTTCATGCAGCCATAGTTATGCACCAAATTTCATGCATAACTATGTAAAACTTCAGCATTAGAATGCACAAATTTGTGCATAGTGGCGTTAGTTTTGCATACTTATGCATGAAAAACTGTGCATAGCTATGGCTGCATGAAATCCTGCAAGTCTTATGCACAACAGAATGCATAAGGATTTAGTGTGTACTCGGGCGAGTCTCGGGCTGCAGTGCGGCTCGCAGCGGGTCGCAATGGGACGTACAGGGTGGGTGATCCACGCCGTGTTTGGTTTTTTTTCGGCATATTCTGTACCGGATTCACGCGTGCCTATCGGCCTACAGGACATGAGATCAGCTGGTACGTCCCACTGCGACCCGCTGGGAGCCGCACTGCATGAATCCGGTACAGTATAAGCAGAAAAAAAAAACACGGAACGGATCACCAACCCTGTATAGGCGGGCCGCTCCGGGCCGGCCGACAAGCGACACAGTCCGGCAGCGAGCGGGCGTCGCAGCTAGCATGCGTCCGAAAACGGCAGGTGGACGTGAGATGGAGCTGTAGCGCAGTTGAAGCATCTCACTCACACCTGTCGTTTTTGTACGCATACGCGGGCAGATGCTCGCTTGCGGCTGGCTTTCAGCACGTGGTAGGTGCCCGCCTCTTCTCCTAGCGCATCTAACTTATTGTTGATAAATAAAGCGCGGTTTAACAGGGTGTACACTCGGTCAAAACCTGTTCATTTATTTTTTTTAAAAATCAATGCATTTTTATTTGTATTTTTTATCACACAACCGATGGTTTACAACCACCAACCGCCAGTCTGCTTTGGCAAAAAACATTGGGTAAATATAATCGAATATAAATATTAAAAATATATGGTTGGTCAGATGGTGGTCGTTCAAACGAGCCACTCCCCTAATAAGCTCTTCCAGCCCTAGATAAAATTTTTGGAAATTTTCGGAATTTTTCCAGAAAGTTTCCGGAAATTTTTGGAAATTTACAACCGTATGTTCAAATAGTTAATTTACTTGCACAAAATACTCTGTGATTTAGCTCTCCACAATCCAAAATAAAAATGAAATAACGCCCATGCATGCTGTAAAAAAAATATCACACGGGTTCTTTCAATCAGCTTACAGCAACGGCAACGGCATCAGTTTGCAAAGCTGCAAACAAACTACAGATTTATCACAAACAATATAAAAACACAACAGGTATAAATGGAAATAATCCTTTGAGCTACATGTGACAAGGAACATTAAGCGACTATAATACAAATATGTTGTAAAATAAGAGAACGTCACATTTGGCATCTAGCACTAACATGGTTAAAATGGAGACAGTCACAATCTCTTTAAAATATTCCAAGGTTGAGCGAGAACGCTAAGTCAAAATAGCGTCAAAATGGGGCCGCGGAAGTTATTTTGACGACAATGTTCATACCTAGGAGGAGTACATTTTGACTTGAAAGTTAAAAATGACACTACTTCGGGCCTCTTATGGACACTATCGCTCAGCTCACTTCGTGCAGTGCGTACTGGGGCAGTGGCCCATGTTGCCGTTGGTCTTGCAGTAGTCCTCGAAGGTGGGCCCCGCGATGCTGCGGCAGCCCAACGACACCTCGCCGTCGCGCTCCGTCTCGCACATGATGTTCATGTCGAGCTGGTTGGTGCCGGGCAGCACGGCTTTGATCTGGGCCTCGATGTAATCGCATTTCCAGTTTTTAGACCAGTCGCCAGCCAGAGATGCGAAGGTACAGTAGTTGCCCTTGACCTCCATCCAGCGGTACTGCGTCTTGAGGTACAGCTTGTCGCCCGCGTTGCCCTGGCACATCATGGACTCGGAGCGTGACAGGGTCTTGCCCGTGGCCACGGAGTATGACCGGCTCTCGCTCGAGCTGCGCGACGTTCCGTGGGTGTTGGAGTTGGTGTTCGTCGCGGTCAGGGTGAAGTCGTTGGACACGCCGAAGGTGAATATCTCTCCCAGCTTCGCGCTGAGCGATAAACCAATCTTGTAGGCGTGGGCCAAGGCGCGCGCCGACGTGGACGACTCGTTCTCGCCCACGGTGTACGTCGTGCCGTCCGACTTGGTGAAGGTGCTGCTGGTCGACTCCTGGAAGGTCAGCGTTTTGCTGCAGCTCCGCACGCCGCAGTGCGCCACGTCGCTCACCCGCTTCCAGGGCGTCAGCCACTCGTGGGCAGAGATCGGGTAGAAGCGATCGCCGTAGCCTGTGGGGAAAAACACTCGTTGGCAACCACACACTTTCAAACTACTACATAGGGTGAGTCTTTTGCCCCGTTGGAGCGAATGAGTATATACTAGCCCTCGTTCAGGCGTGCGGACGGGGACGGGGCCTATTCGGCCGTAAGGCGCCGTGGTTTTAGACGAGAGGCAACCCGGCCGCACTAGTGAATCCGGGCCAGAATACATATTTGCTCCAACGGGGCAAAACACCCAACCCACCCTACTGACGGACTTTGTCAAAATGACATCTTGTAAAATGGACGAGATCTCGTTTTCTCCATCCCTAAAGGTCGTCCGGACAGCCTTTTTTTATGGGATGGAGGTGTAATTTAGGGTCAAAACAATCGAACGTTCTCAATGGAAGGTGCCATATGGGAAAAGGAGATCTCCAAAAACATGTTGATCTCGTTGCTAAGGTCTTCGTTTGTAACGAGATGCTATACATGCACATTTCGTCTCTATAGAGGTTTTCATAAACCTTTCGGAGAACAGAGAACCATTATGAAAATCGTAAAGCAGGTAGGTTCCCTTTGGTCCAAACATTTCGGAAATATCGCCCCTGTCCCCGGCTCCTTACAGGCCGGGCGAGTAGGCAACCCATCCGCACTCGTGCGGGCGGTACAGTCTAACTACAGAAGTGCGCGGGGTTAATCAGCCACCTGGTATATTTGTGGGGAGGTCTAACTTGCGGGCGCAACGCGTCATAAACGAGAGCTCGATTTCCAAGCTGCCTCTTCCGGAAGCCAACCAGCTTGGAATCCAAGACGGATTTCTCGGGAAACAAGCTGGGCAGCTTGGGAAACATGAAAAGCTGCCTGGAAAACAAGCAAGCACAGCGTACTGGTTTTCCAGCTGCAAAATAGGCACTGCCTGATTTTACTCAGACTGCTCGAAAACTGGTATCCTCGGCTTGAATACGAAGCACTCGTTTTTACCTTGAACTCGATCCAAGTGAGGCGCGGTCGGGAAATTACAATATGTTCCTTTTTTGGACAGTCCTACCCTCATAGCCATGGCCATCGTTGAGCTGGTATTCGCCGTTGCACGGCTCTTCCCAAAAGTTACAGTAGGCCGCGGAGTGGTGCAGGACCGCCAGCAGCACCAGCACGGCCAGCGGGCACACGAACGACAACTGCTTTACCATCTTCAACAATATTGGAAACTATT